TACTTACTGGGAGAAATTCCTGTTTTTTCTATGTATATTTTTCTATGTAGAGAAAAACACATTTTTTACTTACTGGGAGAAATTCCTGTTTTTTCTATGTATATTTTTCTATGTAGAGAAAAACACATTTTTATTTTATATTGTTTTTTGGTGCTCAGCATTAAAGTGCAGGACTTTTCTGCCACTGAGCTACAGGCCCAGCCCTGAAGGTGTTCTTTTAAAATTACTTTTATAAAATATATTTTTAGTAGTTTTTTAAAAATACTTCTATAAAAAATCACAACAGTGCTGACTTAAAAAGCATTTAAAACTCAGTTTATCTTATCACTTCAGTATTACTCTGGGGGAGGCTCATGTTTTGACTCTTCTTCCAGGACAGTGATAATTTACCTTGGGTCTGATGTAAGGCCAGGCACTGGCTGTCATGTAGGAAGTCACCCTGAGGAACACAGCCCCGGAGCTCCTCAGCCTTGGCTGTAGCTAAGGATCATCTGTGGGACTTTGAAGGTGTCCAACAATAGTTCATACCCACACCAGCAGCAGCATGTCCAGACTCAGGCCTGGACATGAGCATTTCTGAGGTTCCCACGCAATCCTGAGGACCACTGCATTGCGGGCAAACTTGCATTTCCCGAAGTATCAGGAGATCCCTTTTATGTGCTTCTTAGGGTCCACCAACCACCATGGAGGTGTGAAGCCTCACCTATGTGGGACAGGGAAGACAGCTCCTTTCTAGAGGGCACGTCACTGCTCATGTACCCTGGACACAGGCCCATCTGTCCTGCTCTCCTCTAACTCTGTCATCTCTCTTGGATTCACAGGAGCTACAGTGACAGCTGCTTCCTGGATTCATCCCTTTATCCAGAGCTAGCTGACGTCCAATGGTACGGGCAGGAAAAAGCCAAGCCTGGAACCCTCGTGTGAGCCGGCCGGGCCTGATCTGACCGCCGCCGCAATGCCATTCTGAGTCACCTCACTGCCTCTCATTTGCCTTACCCAGACGCACTGTCACCTGCACCAGCTTTGGCCCTCAGCACTTTTTTTTCCTCCCGTCTCCACATCCCCTTCATCCTCAAAAACCTGACTGAGGAGACATTCTGGAAGGTTCCGATCCCACTGTGTGTCCCCTAGCTCTCTTGCCCAGAGAGCTGGACAATAATCCTCAGTGACACCTTGGTGGTTTCCCTCTGCCGTTGACAGCCCCAGGCCAGGAACTGTCAGGGAAGCCAACACATGCAATTCCTGTGGAAGAGAAGCGTTGGTAAAGAATGGGAAAAAGAAAGACCTACCTGTGTGCAGAGACTCTGAAGCTGTGTCCAGCTGCCGCCCTAGGCCAACCAGGTGCTTCAAGGGGATATTCAGTTTACATCTGAAGTATTCTGTAGTGAACCAGCCAGCGAGAGCACCTAGCAGGAAGGGTGAGAGAGAAAAGGAAGACGGACACTTCAGAGACTCAATGGAGGATCACAGTTGGTTCTATGCTGCCAAAGATTAGACACAGTCAACAATAAACAAATAGGAGGCGCCGAGAGGAACACACTTTCTCTGCAGTGAAATTTCATTTCAACTCTAAACTGCTTCTATGCAGCACAAGTGGAAAGTCAACCATTTGTAAATCATGTCCTGTCATGACCCGTAGCACTCTGCTTCTCCCTACCTGAGAGCCCGGAAACAAACCCGATGGGACAGTGAAGATGAAGGAGGCTTGGCGGGCCTGGCAGACTCAGAATCTCTATCTGCCTGGACATGCAGAACAGAGGTTGGGAGGAGGAGCAGGGTACCATTAGAACTGCCCTATGTAGGGGCCTCGGCCAGTGCCCCAAAGCTTCTTTCCTTCTGGGAATGGAAGCTCAAGGTGACCAGTGCCAAAAGTAGTTCTGTCCCATTAAAACAACCAGTAAACGTGTAACCTTTCTGTTTTTGTACAAGGTGTTCCATTTTCTTTTGTATGGGAAACCAAGGGAAAAAGCACACTGCAATACAGTCAGGTGTTTTACTGTTGTTGGCTCATTTTATGTTAACACTTGTGTGACAAAGAACTCGGATGGACCTCTCCTATGTGTCACTTAGTCAAAGAACCCAAGTATGCCCTTAGGTAGGAAGCTTTTTTACATGTGTCTACCAGATGGCAGGCAAAGCAGAGTTGAAATAACTCAGCTTCCAAAGGGCCCATCCACCTCCAGCAGTATCCATGACCTTGACTTTGACTGACCACCACTGTCCACAGATACCAAGAGGATAAAAGGCAAAAAAAAAAAAAAAAAAAAAAAAAAAAAGCATGCGTGCAATCTGCTTGTTTACATGTGTTTTGAGCTACGCTTAACACACAACCAAAAAGCCATCAATGTTCAAAGGCCTCAGAATTACCTTTATAATAACTAACCCGTGCACAGTCTTAGTTGGGTTACTCAAGATGGCACAGAAGAGTCTCCTTGGAAGTAGTGCATGTTAGTGCCGAGCGGGGTCGCCTCTGTAATGACTTCCGGTGGTAAGGGTATCCAGGAACAAGAGCCAGGGTGGGAGGACTTTTGTGGGAAAGCAGATCTAAAAGTTAGCCATGGCATCAAAAGAAAAACCTTTGTTTTTCATGTATGTAAACCCAAGAACAACAGACTGCCAAAGCAGGAAGTAAGAAATGGACACCAGAAAGAAGTGGCCCAACCTGTTGCTCACTCCACTGTGGCTTAAACAACTCTGGAAGTCAAGTGGGAACTCACACCAGGCAGGAACATTCATACCATACAGCCAAAGGCCTCCTGCACCATTTTTTCCAAGGCCCATTCAAGGCTGGCTTGAGGATTCTAGCTTCCAGAAGCAGCACTCTTCCTGGATACCTCACGGGAAACCCTGTAACATTGGTAGGAACTGGATATGATGGTACAAAATCAACCTGGGGCTTGATGGAGACAAGGCTACCTTTTTTTGCTCCTCGTATGATAACAGGAGCTATAAAAAGCAGATTTGGGGATATTTTTTTTTCCTTCCTTACCTAGTAGAAAATGTGACACAGTGTGTCAAGTTTTCTTTCTTCCAAAAGGAGATGCCTGAATAATTAGAACGAACTATGGTGCAACAGGAAAAGTCCAAAGGGAAATAAAGAGTAAGACAAGGTTACATGGTTACAGGATATAACATAGCAGTTTGAAAATCAATTCTGAAGTCCTCCGGAGCAAATGAGAGAGGCAGAAAGAATCTAAATGTAATAGATTTGGGGAGCAGAGGGGAATGGAATGGGAGCTGTGAACACCATCACGATAGTCTGGCAGTAAGGACAGAGATTAAGTAAAACAGGTTTTACTGTTTAGCTGTGTTCAGTTAATACAATGTACATAATAAGCATTAGTCCTTTGAGACTGATATGATAAATGGTCGGTGTGGTGATAAACGCTCTAGGTATCGTCTTCAAGCACCTGCAAACTCTTTACAGATCCCTATTTCTTTAAAGGAAGATGAAATATGAAGCCCCCAATCTGATCTAAGGCCCCTATTGGATTCTTTGGATACATGTAAGAAATTGCCTGTTTCAGCCAGAAGACTATATTGTGAGCCAGGTTGGTTTATTTTGCTATATGCAGGTGAGTGTTGAAACTGTTAAAATCCCAATTTGTTTTCATTCAGTATTAGTTTAGTTCTATATATATATATATAGCAAACCTCATCCAGGTGCTATCAGATGACCAATTACTGCTTAGTTAACTAGGTGTAAAGTTTTACATATCCATTCATGTCAATAGTTTATTACAAGTTGTGTAAAATTGACTCTAGTTTAATAACGGGGAAAAGATTAGGTTGCTCCTGAAACTGACTGTAGAGCATGTAAAATGATTTTACTGGATTCTGTTCAACTGTAATCAATGAAAAAGATGTATGTTGTAGACAAAGTTGCAGAATTAAAAAAAGAAATCTGCTTTTAATTTATTCTTTTTGTATTAAGAATTTGTATAGTACCTTTACATTTTGCAGAACAGTGTTGTCAACACTTATTAAAGCATTTTCAAAATGAAAACACCACAGTCGCCTCCTGGACACTGTTTGTTTCCAAGTGATAAATCCATAAACCATGCTCCAGAAATCTACATGCCAAGTGCACTGAACTGTTTTTTCTTAAACATCATCAGTCTACCATGGTATACCTTTTGGTTTTGGCTTGTTTCTTGACAGTCTCATTCTTCGGCCCATGCTAGCCTAGAATGTACCATGTGGCCTAGGGTGACTTTGAATTCACAGTCTTTTTGCCTACAGCCCGAGTGCTGGCACATACCGCCACACATACTCAACTATGCATGGTATTGTTGGCTTGCCAGATGAGCTTGTTGACTTGGTAGACGCTAGTTTTCTGGTATAAATTGTCCAGCCTCTAAAGCATACCATCTAAGCAACAGACTATCGCATTTGCAAGAGTCCCCCAACTAAGGCATGTCTGCTGGTGTACATTAACAGATTGCTGCAGTTATATCCCTGACCCCTAACCTGACAGACATCTTTCCTGATAGAAAATGGAAGTCTAGCCTCCAGGAATACTCTGGGGATAGAAGGCCCTTCCTGATCACTAGAGTAAGGCTAGTGTCTGCCAATAAGAGTAACAATGCACCCAGAAGCTAGACCTGTATGAAAGTGAGCTAACAGGACAGTGTTTACAACTTCCTGAACTCCGGCAACTGCCTGGGAAACTTCTTAGCCGAGTATCAGAGCCTCCCCAAATAATCTATACTTGAAAAAGAAAAGGCCTCTTGTAAAAATGCTATATATAAAGATGCCAGAAATTAACCTAAGCCCTAAGCTCTATCACCTGAAAGCAACTGGAACTCATGAAGATGGCACTGGTTCATGCTTCCTGTTTCTACCACAATCTAAAGCTCTCCTTACCTTTACCTCCCCGACCTTCAAGTGTCACACAGCTCTGTTTTTGGACTCTCTTATTCTTGACAATTACTTTTTTGGCTCCCTGTACTTTTTCATGACAATTACAAAGTACCTAAGAGACACAAACTGAGGGAAGGAGGCTTTATTTGACTCTACTTTAGATGGACTTCAGTTCATCAGAGCAGGAAGAGTGCGGTGGCAGGACCTTGCAAGCACAGGCATCTTAATTCTTGGCTGACTGGACCACAAAACACAATACTGGAACAAGAAGCGGTCCACCCCTAGGGAACTACTTACACCAAGGCCCCACATCCCAAAGGTTTCACGACCTCCCAACAGAGCACAACCACCTGGGGACCAGAAGTCTCCTGGGACATTTCAGAATCACACTGGAACACTCGCATCTGATCTCATGGCACCGCTATGCCACCTTTATGCCGATGACACCGTTTTCCATCCAGTCTCGACCTCTTCACTCCACCTTTTTTTCCTATTGCCTCCTTAGCAACTACATTTTTTAACAAGAAAGCCCAGAACTGAACTCTTGACCTTCCCCTCCAAACATGCTCCACCAACAGCCTCCCTCGACTCAGAGGCAGCTCCATCCTCCGCTGGCTCAGGCCAAAGACCTTGTAATCATCCCTGACTGCTCTTTTTCTTTCCACATCTACAGTAAACAAAACAGATATGAATGTTCATCCTAAAATTTATATTGCATTGTGGGGAAAGGGGAGAAAATAAAAAAATAAATCATTTACCAGAGAGCGACAGGAAAGCAGGGACAGTGATGATTTAGCCAGTGACAGAAAGAACACACCATTTCCACTGAGTCTGCTGAGTAGGAATGCTGGTAAGCTTGCAGACACGGTCCTTAAGATGGCTTCCAAATTCAACTGGCATGAGAGAAAGATAAGGGCACTGCTACATGAGACAAGAAAAGGGGAATCAGGAGAGCAATCTCAAAGCTCAAGAAAATACATGTGAGCCCCGGGATCAGAGACTGCTCAAAGGAATAGGATTCCTTCTTCTGCCTCCACAAATGTTCCCACACATATGAGTTCAAACTCAGACATAATAAGCAAATAAATAACACCAGGATTTTACAGAAAGTATAAAGTTCACTGTTCCTTCTTCTCTTTGCATTGCTCTTAGGAATGCCACTATGAGACACCATCATAGTGTCATCAAGAGAAACAAGTTACATTAAACAACAGAAAAAACTTACATTAAAACTGACACACTGGGGACCTGGAAAGATGGGTTAGAAGTTAAGAGCACTGGCTGTTGTTTCAAAGGTCCCAAGTTCAGTTTCCAGCAATCACATGGTGGCTTGTAAATCATCTATAATGAGATCTGGTGCCCTCTTCTGGTATTAAGGTATTAAATACATATATATTTTAAAGTTGACATACCGTGTTGGGATGGCTCAGTAGTTAAAAACACTTGCTGCTCTTACAAAGGACCCAGGTTAAGTTCCCAGTGCCCACATGGCGGCTCACACCATCTATAACTCTACTTCCATGGGATCAGATACTGTTTTGACTTCCACAGGCACTGCTCAAGTATGGTGTCCTCACATATATGCTGGTAAAATACCCATGGACATAAAAATAAGTCTTCTATGTGTTAAAAAGACTAGCATATGAATTGATTTCTATGGGGTTCCTTACACAAACACAGCTGAAAAGATTATGTCAATATCCAAGCTGGTCATGGGATTAGTTCCCTCCCATTAACAATTATTTAGCACAACAGTCAGCCTCAGAGACGTACAATACCTGTGTCTACAAGAATGGATACACAACTATAAATTACCAGGAAAACGTACAAAACTCAACAGGAAACAACAGACCTGAAGTCAGTCTTGATTAGGGCCTTCATAAAGGTACTCAACTGGGTTAGTCATCAGGCAAACCAGTCCACAATGTAACACTGAGCTAAAATGAAGGCTACAGTAGACACTTCAAATGTGAGCAGATGCAGAGACTTAAACTCTCAAAAACTAGTATAAGCTCCATGGGAACTCCCTGGAAGTCAATCCAGTGATTACGGTGTTCCTACATGAACTTAGTGTGCCAGTTTGCCTGCAGATGCTGAGGCAAAACAGACCTATTGTCTCCAACAAGGTAGAAGATGAGGACAGAGTTCTGCCATCTTCACATGTTGTGACATTGTGTACATGCACACATCACCACGACCACCACCACCACCAAAGAACAACAAATAAAACCCTGGACAGGAACGCATACTGCCCCAGACATGGCCAGGCACTGCTTGTTCCAGTCCTATGTGTGCGTGTACATGTGATAACTGGATCTTCAAGTATTCACTGTACATTGTAAGCGTCAGAGACACTCCAACCTCACAAAAGGACAGAAAATGTCAGCCAAACTCAAGCTGCAATACCCACAGGTCATAATGTTTCCTTAGTCTTCAAAGAAGAGCACTTCAAGTGCAAAGGCAATTTGGTTTTGACAGGTTGTAAAGCTGCAGCTGAAAGCCTGTGGGGATGACTTGGCTGCCAAGCAGTGAATGAAGCTGAGATCACCAAATTACACCCAAAAAGAAAATGGAAACTCCCGACCTGCTGATCTCCTCTGCGTGGAGGTATGCACTAAGCTTGGCCACTGAGGGGGAAAAAGGCAGCTGACTGTGATTTCAGAGCAGGGTTTAGGGATAGGGAAGAAACTAAACAAAGGGAAGTGGCCCAGTTAAAATGCAGTCATAAGTGGCAGGGCACAAATTAGTTCAAGCATGCTGTGTAAAGTATCCCAGTTTAAAATGTAGAAAATATACAAATAGTCAAGGTGTTGTTTTGTTTTGTTGTTTTTTTTTTTAATTTTTTTTCTTTTCCTAGACAGTGTTTCTCTGTATAGCCCTATCTGTCAGCCCTGTCTGTCCTGGACTTTCTTTGTAGACCAGGCTGGCCTTGAACTCACAGAGATCCACCTGCCTCTGCCTCCAGAGTGCTGGAATCAAAGGCCTGCACTACCACACCCAGTGTCTGGTTTTGCTTTTGGTTTTGAATAGTCAATGTTTTAATAGTAAACTGTCTGGCCAATGTATAAACCTTTTTCTGTAATGAGCACAACTCCAAAATTTTGGCTGGGGTCAGCTCACATCCAGCTGTTGCTGTTAGCGGCTACACTGCACTCCCTGGTTACTCTACACCACTAAAGCTTGTTGTTAAATTTCAAGACTTTATGTTAATGTTAACCATTAAAGTTCCAGGGGTTAAAATTCAGCAAATGCAGCGGCAGAGTCTGTGATGAAAACCAGTTACCACAGCAGTTTCCCAAAGCAGCCCTCTGGAGACTGCGCTGGCCTCAGCTCTCTGGACAGCTGGAAACTCTTCCATCAATACACCGTGAGAAAGTGCTTTTCGGATCAAGACTCCCAACATGATGCCATACCGTAAATTTCTCGAGGATAAAGTTATGCTTTCAGAGGCTTCATGGGAGAAGACTGTGGCAGGGAGGAGGTGAACTCCTCTAAGTTATCGGCTCAAGATGCTCAGACAAAAGAAACTTAGAGCTCCACTCAAGACCTCCATTTCATTCAGGCCTTCCTTCTGTGGTGAGAAGCATTAGTGGGGACTGTGTGCCAGAGAAGGAACCAGACAGGAAAGCCCGAATCCAAGCCTCCGAGAGACTGGGAAACCTTTTTCATCTGTCCCAAGCTGTTCATTCTCAGAATTCCTTTTCAACAGCAATAACTAAGGTTTGCATTCCTAAATGATTTCCTGGGGTCTAACTCCAGCATGGTTAAAGTAGTGGACTAGGTTAAAATGCATCAGAAGGGAGAGCGCCACTGTAACAAATCCTCCCGCTAGCAGCCCTACTGGCCCTCAGTTCCATTAGTGACCACTGCCTGCCTCATTCTGCACTTACAACCTCTCACAATGTGCAGGGCAGGAAGCACTCAGGAGGAACTGTACTGTGGAACATGAACCTGGGGGTCTCCTCCCGGGTTAGCCACTCAGTACAATCCTCTCCATGCTGGGTAGTGAGTGAGCGGTCCCATCAAACCTGATCTTCAGTGAAAATGACTGACAGCAATCCATAGTGGCATTACCACATTCAAAATAGTACACGAACTTCTATTGCTTTACTATGAAGACAGGGACTGTGCTGGCTGGCTTGGTCAAGATAGACGCTAATGTAGGTGTTGTGAGCACACTTACGGCAGTCTAGGTCAAGCTGCTTAGAGCATTAAATACATTTTCAATGTACTCTATGTTCACTTACATCATCAGTGCTAATCCCACAGTGAATAAAGCAGCATCTGCATTGACTTCTCAAGGAAAAAAGGTGTTTTTACTAAATCTGAATACAGAAAATCCCAGTTCTTGTGGCTGGAAGGATGGGGAGGATAGAAAGAGGTATAGTCAATTAGAATTGTGACTGTTAAAAAGAAAGGTATGTCTTTATTGTTTTAAACCCAGTCTGAAACAAAAATATATAGTATATGCCGAAATAAAATTTCCATGACTTGAATGAAAGATCATTTTCTACACATCCAAGGAGTTTTTATATAGCTTCTTTAATTTGTATATAGCTTCTTTAATTCAAATACGAAAACTTTTCTGAGAGAACCACATATTTGAATATGTTTCTCTCTACCAAACTCAGAATGGCTAAAGTCACAGTCTTATAGAATAAACACATACTCTCAATGAAAAAAAAAAAAAAAAAAAAAACAACCAAAAACCAAAACCCACAAAAGCCAATCTTAGGAAGCACAGGTGTCATGTAATAATATAGTTTCTTCTTATAGTGGAATATATAGTGGAATATTAACAACAGAAAGGAAGACAACATAAAATTACTTACCACGCTGTGTGACCTGCCGGTGGATGAAGAATAAGTGGTTTGGGCATCTTCCAATAATATTTATAAAGAAGCCATTCATAACAAAACCACATGTCACAGGTAGGGATTTGTTGCACATCTCATGAACTTTGTCAAATAAATTCCCCCAAGTTCTACCTAATTTAATCATAAGAAAAGGCTTCTATAGTGAGGGAGTGGAACGCTGATTCAACCCAAGACAGCCACCACCCTGCATATAACTGGCGGAGACTGTCCTGTCTAGGCACAGTCTTGTACTCCAAATAGCCAAAAGTAACATTCACTCTTTCTCAAGAGAGACCAGTATAAGCAACTGTGATTTTGAACCACCTCCAGCAACCTCCAGCCCCCATTCTCTGCATGTCTAAACGTGGACCTGGCTGAAAGTAAAGACAAGAAAAGCTTAACAATGATTTTATCATTTACTGCTATTGCTGCTAACACAATTGTTATTGTTATACAATACATACTCTCCTATTGTAGCCACAGGGTCCTATAAATGTCCTTGGTCTACCAATGTAATAAGAATACATGTCAAGCAATAATAATGACCTCTTGTCATCTGCCAGGCAGGGGGCTCGGCATCTTACTTACACAATAACATCGTGAGGTATATACTCTTATCATCACTCTCAGACAAGAAAGCCAGAGCCCAGCAAGATGGAACCACTTGCCCAAAGCTGTTTTGGTAGAACATGGAGCTGAGAAGTGTCAGTCCTGATTTGCCCATGTCTTACTTTCTCTGACACCACATCCAACTTGCCAGGTAACATCCATCTCCCACAATACAGTCTTAGCTCCATCTTCTCAGCACTGCAGCAGTGCGTGGTCACATGATCAAAGCTCCATTCTGTAAGACCTAGAGCAAGTTTTCATTTGGTAAGACCAGAGTGAGGACTGAGGGTAGCATAATGAAGCCAGCAACTTCACAACTCTGCATCCTGGTCATGAGGCTGCTGCTCTCAGCCGGCTCAAAGACCCACTTTTCACCGTATCCTTGATGTGCTGGTGTTTTGAAATTATGCTGGTACAATATACCATCTTTGCTTTTCAACCTTTTATCTCTTATTAATTCTCTCTGTCCAGAAAGGTGACAAATGTACTCTGCTTAGAAACAAAAAACAAGTCTGAAACAGAAAATAACACTTAACAGTAACATTTACATTCTACTGCAAGATGGCAAAAGTCCACAATCATTTAAGAACTGTAAAGGAACATTCAATGGTCCCACACTTTTGTTTAAATACAAAAATATTTTCTATAAATACCACATAGAAAAATGTGCGAATCACTTTACAAAATTTAAACCCATCCTCAAATGTTTTTAATTATCCAATGACACATTTTGGGTCTTGAGGAGAAGTGTCATTTCAAACCCCCTTCTTGTGGTGGTGGTTGTTGTCTACACATTTAACTATGGATATTATCTTTAGGACTTAATTTTTCAACTGATTAAAATGAAAGCAAGACACAAAAATTAGTCAGCAGTCCAATGCCATGTGGAAACCAACACCAACTGCATCAGGTGGGAGTCTGCTGTGGAGCTCTTCCTTCACTGCTGTGCTAAGACCAGAAGGCCACGTGCTGGGTGCAGAGGCTCCTTGTCACGTACACACCGTACACAGGTCTCATAGTGCATTATATTCCACACACTTCGATGGATCTGTAGGAAAGTGCTTCTGGCAAATTGTCATTAGCCTCTTCAGCCCCTAAGAACATAAAATAAGCGTTCATTTGACAGAGCTGAACTATTTCTAACTGCTCTCTGCTGCACTTAGCATTGCCAGCAACACCACTCAGAAGGCTACCTAGAGCAATGTTTATTCACGGGCACTAGTTATCACAACATTGTTAACTGATGAAAAATACGCATGCTACAGGGCTGTGACGTCAGCTTGGCCATTCTGAGTTTAGGTGGAGAGAAACATGTTCAAAGATGTGGTTCTATGGGTTTTGTTTTGTATCTCCAAACTTAAAAAATTTTCTGTATTTCTAAAATGAAGCCATACAGAAATTCCTGGGATACTTTGATCTTATCTATTTAAGTCATAGAAATTTTACTTCTGTATATACTACTTGTTTTTCTTTGAAATTTTTTAAAGCCAAAGACACTAGAAATAACACAATTTTCCACCCACACCTGAATTCATGAACATGCACACACTCACAAATGGGAGTATTTAGAGCAGTAAAATAGATACTAACTCTAGCCATCTACGATAATTCAGCATCCTCAAACAAGAGGAGGTTTCAAGAGAGACTTGAACCTAAATGCCCAGGACAACCACTGATCCTTTGGTCTGACCTTTTAAAATTCTTAGCTGACCAGTAGACCTTAGTTATTTTTCTTAGCTTTCTCACCCACCACTAGGTAAAATTCATTGTATCCCTTACAAATAGGCTAACACCAATGGTAGAAAGAAGCTGCAACAAGCCACAATAGGATCTCTCATGAGAATACTCTAGAGAGGAATTTGGAATCAGAAAAGAATCCTACTAGTTGTAAAATGAATTTCCAAATTTCCCTGTTTACAAGGAATATCTGTTCAAAGCCATACTGAAATCTTTATAACATTATTAACTAGTTAGTTATTAAAAGAAGATCGAAGAACAGCAGTGCTTAATTTCAAAGATTTTAACCCATACCAATTTTTAGCACAAATTATTTTAAGGTTTTTTTAAATCTTAAGTTCACAAAAACTAAAACCATCCAGTTGCCATCACAGTAAGAAAAGTAATAAAATTTACGCATAGAATAACAACGCAGGCTATAAAAGAACATACAGCACATTGACTGGCACTTTAGGTAGTGTTCTCCTCAAATTCATTTTCTCCCCTCAGAATGACACAGTGGAGTATCTTTAAACAAGAGATTCATGACCCAGTGGGAAAGAACTACGGGGCTTCAGTTACACAAACTAGCGACAGAAGAAAACATCTGGAATTCTAGGGGGAAAACATTCAAAATAGCCCAAACTCCATTATTTAGAAATCTTAAACTCTAAATATGCGAACAACTTTTTATTTTTGCTTTTGTTTTTTGGATATAATTTTAGGCAGAGTCTCACAAGCAGCCCAGGATAGTTTGGAGCTCACAACACTCCTGCTTTAGCCACCCAGGAACTAGGATTACACATCTGCTGCCAAGCCCAGATCAAGTAACCCTAAGACTCAATGCAACTGTCAAAAACAAAATCAGTTCATTTCCTCGTAAAAACTGGTAACATAAATATAAACTACTGTGAACTGAACGATGATCATTAATGAAGTCAACATCACTGAAACATGATGCTGAAGTATTTTAAGAGTCCTTTCCGGGGCCAAACACTAACCACACTGTGCTATCTAAGAATTGGGGTGTGGAGAGGTAATCTTTTGGTTGATTTCTATGATAAAAGGTCTTCCTAGCAGTGGGAAGGAAGATCCTGTAATTTAGTTTGTTCCTCATATCTTCCTTGCTAACCAGGCATTTGCTTTAGGATAAAGAACTTCCCTTCCATACTTAACTTCCCCTGCTGTTGAGTTCTGATCATATGTGCATTAAATTTGAACTGTAGCTATGGATGTATGACACCACTGATTTGACATCTCTAAGTGTCCTGAAGGAATTGTTGGAAGAAGAGATAGGCTAGGAAACATGAGACACTTCAGTCAGCAGCCAAGCATGTCATGAGCTGCTCTAACAAGGAGTCAGCTTCGAAACATTCCAACTAGAACCTTAGGAAGCTGCTCCTCAGAAGACATTTAAGAGGTGCCTTTACCCTTGGAGTCTAAGACTTAAAAATGCAGCTCAATAGCCACAGTTACAGCCTTTGCCTGGAACATTGCTATAAATCCTTGTACTAGGCCTGATAGGTTAGCAAGGATTTTAAACAATGTCATTCTCAGGACATAGGTCCCCCACCCTATAAAATGGAAACCTCTGGCTTTCCATCTCACACCACTGTGGGTGGTTAAGCAGGACAACAGCAGAACTCACAATAACACAACAAACAGCTGAGGGCCGGTGCTATTTTAACTGACTTCTTAAAATACAGGGTCTCGTTCAATAGCCAGAGCTGGGCTCAGACTTGTAATGCTCCTGAGTGCTGATGACTAACTTTGATGTGCACCACCTAACTGACTTTATACTTTTATAAGAACACATATATCTGAACAACTGTTTAAGCAGTGCCTACTATATACGAAGCGCTATGTTAAGCTGGAAATAAAAGAAAGAGGGAAAACAACAAAAAGAAAACCCACCCTCAGTAATAAGGCCAGAAAGACAAGAAATAAAATAAATCTGTCCAATGGTGAGGAATGCTGTGAAAACAGTGGAGTAATGTGTAGCTGGAAAAATGTACTAAGCAATAGAAACTATTTTAATTGCAATGGTGGAGGTGCTGAAGAGAATCAAGGGCATTAAGGGCAAACTCAGAAGAGACAGTGCAAGAATTCACACGAGAAAGGTTAGCGGCTATCCCCAAATGGCAGCTAGAAAAGAACAGGTGCCAGATCTCTTACTATAGAGCCATGGAGATTTGAAAGCAGACAGTTTATGAACTGTGACAGAAAGAGGAATCCTAAGGCATAAAATAATAGTACTCATTGGCATTAGTCCTTCCTACCCCCATATTCCAGTCCTCAGAGGCAACCATTTTCACCCCACTGAAGAGACTGCTGTTTCTGGCCATACTTGTAAAAGCCCTCCAGCAGCCCCTGGTGGTTGTTCTTGCAGACCACCTCCTGACTTCTGACTGTGAAGCTGAGAGAAGTTAATAGGCTGATGTCATGGCCTCTGGACCCACATATTTACACACACTACATATTTTCTTCCCCATCCCCCTAAATCATGGCTGCACGTGAAAGCTACATTCAAAGTTAATCTCAGAAAGGTTACCAGGTGTTTTCTATGCCAAGCCACACAGTGTATTATGATGACCATGCCTTCTGTAGGTGTCCCTTTAAAAGTCATCTCTTCCACTTTTCCCCAAGGTAACCTAGTCCCTCTGCTCACTCTGGACCTTCATGTACTGCTATCACCGGAGCACCCCCTCACCGTCAGCCTTGGGGTCCTCTCACCTTCTCTAGGCTGGCCTTCAACTCCTAGATCATGTTGTTTGCTTCCCTCATTTTAGACCATGCTCAGAGATAAATATACTTATATGGTAAGACACCCCAGGCTCAAACCCAACCGCACTTATTAGCATGTGACTGAGAACATGCCATTCTATCTCAATGCTGCACATATCAAAGAATGAAATGGTAGTATTCTCCTCATACTGTTGCCTTCTGTAAGCACTGTGAAAGCTGGGACGGTGACTCAGGGCTCAATGTCAAAGGTCACATTTGTGAAGCCTTGCCTGTCGGAAATGCCACTGCCCTAACTACACCTCTGACTGAGAATTTGGGGGACAGAGTTGGAAATTACTTCCTCTAATCTTTAGGGACTTCACTACATCCGATTTTGAGCACTCCTAATGAAAAGCAGAGTGATGGGACTAACTCCTGAGCTGTTGAAAGTGATCCGCTTTTCTTTCTAATTTGGAGAAAGATCTCATTTATACAGTCATCAGGTTTTTATGGTGGCCGTTGATCTGGCCTTTTTCCCTCAAGCATGTGGCTGAAACTAAGATTTGGTGGTATAAATGTCTACTGTTTCCTATCAGCTGAGCTGTTGAAAGCAGCATGGCACAGTTTATAAAGTTCAGCACGCTGGTGTTCCATGGTCTTAAAAGGCAGCACTACATAAAAGGTAAATGCCAGTGTGTTTCCTTCTGACCATGCAGTGCTAAGCACAGCGGAAAGTACCTCATGGTAGGTGGTTCTTACCATGCAGCAGCTTGCCGCTTGAAAATGATTTATCTCAGCCAGGAACTCAAAGCTACAACAACAAGACACCTGACCTACAAATGTGTCATATATAATTTGAGTACAACACAAGAATACTCACCAATAACTACACTGTGTATACAATGTACGAGTCAAACTGTGATCACTTACTACAGAAATTAAAGTTGATGCTACACTAATTTTGGCAATACATTAAAAATATACATAATTTTCTACAAGGCTGGAGAATGCTACTGTAGATAAAATAGCCAAAGCCTGAGATAAAATGTTGGGACATTGGGAAATTCATGAATTTAAGATCACCGAAAACTTGCCAGAGGTCTTGAGGGCATGTGTAATGGCAAAAGCGAAAGAAAAAAATGGGGGGATGGATATTTGTGTGATGAATGTACTTATCATTTATTCCACACACAGCAGAAAGGGTAACAACAGGAAGCAAAGCAAAAACTCAAACTGATAATCTAATGGCAGGTCCATGGACTTCACTGAGAGCTGGCAGAGCGTAGGACCAACAAGGGGACAGTACAAGACCCTAGAACTGGCAATCCTGAGACTGTGGCCAGCCACACTCTAAAAAGGCAAGAGACAAGAATCAATGGACACAGAGAGTAACTGTTTGGAGATATCCACTTGGAGGAAGCAATGGCCTACGGCAGAGGGGTGGAGCTGGAACTCAGGGAAATAAACACCTGAAATTTGCCCCACTACAAAACTAACCTTCTAAGTCCTTCAAACCTGTCCTGTGGGAAGCCATAGGAAAGAGGAGCCAGTCAGTGTTCAAAGGACAAGGTAGGGAAGACATCTGGGGGATGGCCTGTACTGCTAGCCCCTTCCTTTCGCAGCCTCCTCCGTCTTCAGAGACGAAACTGTCTAG